TGTCTTTTATATTTTAACATAAAACTTTTTATATAAAAATATATTAAAAAAAAAGATATTTAGTAATAAACTGAGATATATAAAATGCCTAAGAAAGAATAATAGAGATGGAAATACAATAAAAGAAAGAATAATAAGTAAGTAATAAATGAAATGATATAAATATGAGGGAGAAACTGAGAGAGGGAGTTTCAACAAAAATTAATTAATGAGAGGTGGACAGAGTGAGTAAAAAATTAAATATTAAGGGAATAATTCTAATAGGTCTTGACTTTTATATTTTGACTTGAAAATATTTTTAATATATATAAAGAGAAAGGAAGACAACTTGGGTTTAAAAACATAAATACACAAAGAATGATTAAAAAAGAACAATAGGGATGGGAGGATAAGAGATAAAGAATAATAAAAAATAAATTACTAATATAAAGATGGATTTACAAAGATAATATGAAAGAATAAAAATGAAATGGTTACAAATAATAATAATAATAATAATAATAATAATAATAATAATAAAGTGTAAAATGATGTAAAAAAAAATCAATTTAAGAAAGTAAAATGTGGAGAGGTATATGCATCAAGTTAAGCTTGAATTAAATTACATAACAATAACATAAGTATAACATGATATTAAAACAAACTAGAGAATTGAAAGAACCTCCAAGAAAATGATAGGGATATATTACAGGTTTAATCTAAGAAATTGAGAAAAATATAATATGTGAAAAAACATGGATAGGAGGTAAGGAGGAAATGATAAGGGAGAGAGGGAATAACATCAAACAATTTATTACTTTAATTGTCTTAAAATAATTTTCATTTTTTAACTTTGATATACTTTTTGTGATGGAATAATTAATCAAAATAAATAGATAATGATAAGATTAAACAAGGAAAAAACATTTATCTACCTAAAAAATTTTAAAAAAATGAAAATTAATTTGGAATAAACTAGAAGTTAAAAATTGACAATTGTTTTGGGATAAAAGGAGTAATATAAAGAGAAAAAATAGAGAGAGAAATTATGAAAATTTATCTTTATTTTTTAAAGTTAAATTGATTAGATCTATATGCTTATAAATCTTTTTTTCTTATATCTATCATTCGCACTTTTCTTTATGAATTAATATATTTAAAATTATTCATTATCAAAAAAATAATTTAAAATATATTAATAATTAATTATTATTATAAAAATGTATAATTAATAAAATTTTTAAAAAAATACAGACGAACCATGCAAAGTGCAGTTTCAGATCTAGTTATTATTAACAACTCTAAACTGTATAAAAAAGTCTAAAATATATATATATATATATATATATATATAGATCCAAAATAGAGCTAATGATATTTTCTATAAATGCCAAAGAATGAATTGTGTTTTTCTTGGAGTAGGTGGATCCATTCTATAAATATAAGCTTCAATCGACAGAGGTCTTGCGCTCCGAAACTACAATCCATTCCTTGTTGGATTAGTTTGTCTGTCTGATGCAGCTTAATTAGGAAGCATGGATGCCAATTCGGCTCAGCCGATTCCATCTGTAAGTTTGATTAATCTTTTCTACACACACACACACACATATATATATATATACAGCCCTGTATCCACGAATCCTATAGGTGCATAGACATTATTCTTCGTTAATATTCTAACCAGAATGAGATAATCACTTGTTCCTATGAACTTCTTTTAACAAGAATTCCATTGCTTAATTTCCTT